GTATACTGTACTGCACCAATGCGTCTTATAGCAACTGACTAAAGGTTGTTATAGACGGGACCACAGAACAGCTATTAAAGCAGACTTAAAACTATTTATGGATTGTGTTTATACCCTTTTATGAGGTTCAGTGCATTTTTTCTTGAATGTGTGCAGTTTGTGCAGACTTTAATTTCATAATTTGTTGCCCTGCTTCTCCTCTTTATGTTGTTTTGTTTTTCTTTGTTTTGGCAGAGCTTTTTAATTGGTTCCTGTTAAAATACCAGGAAATATTCTAACACATTTAAAGATGCTTCAGCATTTTTTCAGGAGGTTAGTGGGTGTGTGCTGCCCAGGTTTCAGTGACTAATGCTGCTAAGTATTGCATGTTAATCCTATTCTGGGAGCAGCCAAGGGGAAAAGCCTCGAGTGACTGACAACCAGCAAAGCTATCATGGTTCCCACTGTCCTATCATTTCTCACTTCAAACACACACAATAACACACAGGTACACACAAGTTGCATAATTTTTGATGAGACTTAAATAGTTGGATATGTTACCAGGAACTGCATTGTGAAAGGAGCTCAATTCAACCTTGATTGTGCATTGTGCAGTGCTTTTACTCTCTGCTGCCAGGAACAACACCAAGCAGAGAGAGAGATAGAGAGAGAGAGAGAGAGAGAGAGAGAGAGGTTTGTAATAGTGACACAACATCCCTGGACTCCTTGTCGCAGTAGCTGACACCAGTATAGAGCGGGTGAATATTACCTGCAGTAACACAAGCTTCTATCTTCTGCTGCCTGATGCAGATTTTACCAGCAGTGAACAGAGCAGACACAGAGATATTATTAGTACTGTGACGATGCATAGAGACACAGTCAGTTGGATGTCCACTGGATGTGTCTGCAGCTCGCGCAGTCCGCCTGGGTTCCAATGTCCACTGATGAGACGTTTCAGAAGAATAGGATATTCAAGCTACCTGTTCTTAGGAAGCCACATTTCTACTTTGTGGCTGTTGCCTTGCTTGTTTTGATTAACTGTGCAGCATGCTAACTTCATTTTGTATCTGTATTTCCTAAATAGTGTTTATTGGCAAAAGGAAAACTGTAGCAGTTGCTTCATAGACTATGGAGGAGAACTGACAAAACAATAAGAACATAATGTTCACAACTGCGTCCGGTGGACATTCGGGGGTTGAGGACTTTATTTTCTAATGCTATCTAAGCATGACTGTGGACTCACAATCATGACAAAGACTTCAGAAGACTATACAAAAGCAGCATGTGATCGACTTCTAAGCCTGTATTTTATCATATTAGTAACACAAGTCATATGCAATTGGATATATCTGTATTGTTGTCATACTGTTAACATGCCAGAGGAGGAAAAATAAACATTTTTCTTAGACGTACAGCAATTATTTGTTTGTAATTGTTTTCAGATGATGATGCTCTACGACAGATAAAGGCAATAATTGTTAGTTGGAAGTTTATTGTGGGTTACAATGTTTTTGTGGAATTTGTTGATAATTATACAAAGATTTTTTTGTTTAATCTTGAGCTTTGTCCTTTGATCCAGGTTTCTATTTATCTGGATCGTGTGTGTGTGTGTGTGTGTGCCCAAATTAAATATTGACATACCATTCACCAGGTCCTGTGTGTATTAAGGTGAGTGAAGAAGTGGAAGATTGACTAGAGAGTGGAACAAGATGGAGAGGGAAATAGAAATGAGAAGGCTGGATAGAGAGCGTAGTGAAAGTGAGTGTGTAAGTGCAGAAATACAGTGTGACTGTGTGGGCGCAGAGCAGGAGCAAGAAATACAGAGATGGAGTGTGATACAGGGAGAAATTGGAAAGGGAAGGATAGCTAAACTGGAAGAGAGAGTAGATATGAAGAAAGTCAATGGAGAGTAGGAAGGAGGAGAGCAAGATGAGGAAAATGGGGAGAGCATGTTGGTGTTTAATGGAGGGTGAAGAAGGGTGAAAGGCAGGGAGAGACCATGGAGGAATAGAGCGCTGGAGGCTATGAGTACCCTTTGTTCACACACATTTTGATGATACGTGAATTCACACCTACAGCAGGGACTGTAAAAAAGCAACACCACACCCAGAGTGAAGCGTGCTGAGAAAACAAATTTTTTTTTAAATCTAAATTTAATCTAATCAGGCATTTCATTTAAAAAAAACATCTGCTGTCTCGAGTGACATACAGTTTGCCGTAGAATAACTTGGATTTAAATCAAACAGACGGATCAATAGCTGGATGGGAGTAATTGATATTAGAGGGAACCACAGACATCACAACAAGATGCGTCCAGATAGCTTGAATTGTTTCATTTCAGCCAAAGCATCAAACTGCAGAGTAACTGGTTCCAGGTAGATGGAGCACAAAATCTAAAAGCAAATCAGTGCTAATGGAAAAACCTGGAGTACAAATAAGTCCAGAGAGACAGTCTGATGAAGTCATATTGGTAGTAACACAAGATATTTTTAGATATTTGGTTAGTTTTGGATAAAAGTCATGGTTTGCATTGAAATAACTACTTTATTAAGGTCAGGGGCATCACCATGGTTACAATAACAACCACTTCAGGACACTTTTAATATAGAGCAGGTCTAGACCATACTCCTTATAAAATTATTTACAGAGATCAAACAATTCCCATGAGAAAGCACTTGGTGACAGTGGCGGCATTCCATAATAGGCACAAACATAATCTATGGGAACATGCGAGACGAGAAAGCACAAAAACTCTGAGGAAGAAGCTGAGATAGTAACGGGTATTAATCGGACATCAATGTATACAGGTAGAGAGGGAGTGGAGGAGACTGTTGGAGGACAATCGTGGTTAAAAGAAACTATTGGTTGAAAACAGGAAATGAGCAGCTGCCGTGTTAGAGTGAGATGTTTTTGTTCACACATCGATCTCCCCCAGCCTCCTCCCTATGTGGACTTTGTCACTCTATAACACCTGACTTCCTACTTTTCGCCCATCACAATTACTATGGCAGCTAGAGGGTTTTGTGGGTTGAAAGTAACGTGCAAAGACGAACTGACCCATTTTTTTCCTCATATTTTCTATCATGAATTGCTTTTCTCATTGCTGTTACCATGCGTACTTTTCACAAGAGCACAAAGCTTTGTTGTTCCAACTGCGATCCATGCTGTCAATGAAAATCTAACTGATAAATTAAAGAACATAGAAGATTGTCCTGTAAATTGACAATTTACATTGACGTCACATTAAACAGCTTGTTCACAGACTCGATTAGATTCATATACTGGCTTGTTTCTTCATTTAACATTCCACTTTAAAAACAATGGATTGTGTAGTTATCTCGTGTACTCATGCTGCTGCCACTGCCTTTAAAGCACTGGTTACCACTAAATGTACTGAAGATGAAAAACTCACTTGGTCATCACTGACATCCAGAAGGCATCAGCATGTTTGTTTTCATGTTTAAGCTCATGCTATCTTAACTGCCAAGATGTTTAACATCGATAGTCAAATGTACCATGACACCAGGTCACCAATAGGTTATCTTCGAAAGTTCTTTATACAAACTCTCACATGGGTTTCCTTTGCTATGCTCTTTTATACTGAAATATACTACAAAACAAACTGAAGTTTTGTGTGATGGATTTCAATAATAAAATAAATAAATAAATACAGAATATCCATGAATCAACACTGGGACCAAACCGAAGCCTTTTTCAGTCTCTGCCAGCAATGCAGTGAAGTGAGTGCAGTTTCTTGTATGAGGGATCATGTTGTGTAAGGAGTGAATCATGCTTTTAAGAAGCTGGGAACGCATAAGAATAGCTTTTGAAAACCTAACCAACTGTGGGGAAAAAAAGTGCTGTCACACTTAAAGTTCAGTGTTCAACTTTCTATAACCACCTCAAACCACAGGATCGTGTTGTTCGCTTGTTCCCAGCTTAAAGGAAAATAATCGAGTGAGCCTGTGAACACGATGAGGAGTTTACAAAGAAATCCACATCCAAGCTGAAAACACCGGTGACAAATCTGATGGCAGATGGGCAAAGAGTTACCAAACACGAGCCACAATTCCCACCTGATCTGTGTATAACTCAACCCATCATGATGAGTTTGCTAGAGAAACCAAAGTAAATCCCACATTGAAAGTCTGTGTTTATCAGAGGACAGTTTTGGTTCATTACAACTTCTGCCTTTTTTTGTTTTTTGACCATCATTTTAACTGGTATTTATTGATAACATTGCACTTGCCAAAGTACTTGCCGAAATCTAGGAACATGGCAACCAAGCTACAGTGACATACTGTGAGGCTGTACTTTGGCAGAGTGTTGTTCTGAGCTATATGCTACCAACATGCTTACAATGATAATGCTAACAGCAGATGTTATAACGGCAACTTTGTTCACCTTCATCGTATTAGCATGCTAATTAGCACTAAAGACAAAGTCAGCTGAGGCCGATAGGAATGTGATTAGTTTTGTAGGTACTGAGTCATGAACATCGTATTTAAGTATTGGACAAAGTTCATCATTAGGGGGACATGAGTGTCTGAACCAAATGTCATGGCTATCCATCAAGTAATTATGTTTCACTAAAAGACAAAAATGTCATTGAATTCAATAGTAGGCCAACATTACCATCCCCAGAGCCCAAAAAATTACTAATATAGTCAAACTAGATTACGTGTGAACACAATTTAAGCTCTATGTATATAAGGGTAGAAGGTAATGTCCATGTGCCAAGTACGATTCACTGTAAAAGAGAAATCAAATCAAAAAATTATAAAACATGTGGGATCATCTGAGTTCTCATGTTTCTTGCACTATTAAACTTTTTTTCAGTGATATTACCTAATTTTCCAGATCCAATGGAATATTGGTAGGAAAACTGGCCAAATATACACAAATAAGCCTCAGATAATATTAAACCAGAATTTCTCTTAAATCAATTACATGAATATCTGTCCATCTTTGTTTCCACGTACTTGTCAGTCACCTCTTACGGCATCTGTTTTCTCTTCCAGGTGCTGCTCTCGGGACTGATCGGAGTGGTGTCATGGAAGAGGCCGCTCTCTCTTGTGGTGAGTGTCCTCTGAACGCCCACCCTCAGCTGCTAATCTAACAACTCTGAACAAAGCAATAATACCCAAGTGGGAGTCTTTTATTGTGGTGATGGGATGGATGGAGATGTGACAATGTACAAGACACATACTTACATACGGAAACAGATGTTTTGTTTTTCTTCCTGTTAGGATCACCATATGTAGATTAGCACACTACAAGAGAATACAAAATGACAAAGGCATTATTAACTACTCTTTATGATTACCTGAGTTGAATAAACATAGTCAACACACTGTCATCTGAGTTTATTAACACAATGTGACAGAGTGCTGACAAATCCGAACCTTGTTGCTTGTCATGCTTGCAGTTTAGCAGTGGTGGAAACTGTAACTGTCTGTGAACAATGTTACAACCTTGGGGCATGTTCAGGTTGTGTTAAAATCCCTGGATCGCAGCTCCAGTTATATGTTTTCATAGCTGATGACCTGGAAACTGCAGGACCAAAGTCAGTTAGAAGTCTTTTACTTTTCTTGTCTCTGCTTGCAGATGAATAATCATTGAACTGCGTGAGTCAGTTCAAATACACATAGCATCATTCTGGATAGAAACCTGTGTGCTGCCATGTGCGCAGTATGCTCTAAACTCACATCACAGGAGGTGGACCTGGGCCCGTATTTATCAAACCACTGAAATTTTTCAATATTGGTTTTTAAATTAAATTCTTTTAAATTAAGGGGAGCTCTAGAGGTTTCTTAATTTGCAGCATGGAAACAAGATGTGTATGCACACCTTCTGACACCAGTAACTGAGTGATTGTACAAAATATCTTTGGTAATTTATACATTACCTAAATATAAATAATTTAATAAAGGACTGCAAAGAAAAATGCTGGCACTGGTTTGAATGCAATCACTTTATCAATATAGCACTAAAATCGCCTTATTATATGATTTTTATGATGTATCTCTTCAACCAGCAAAAGAGTTTTATCCTTCTTTAGTTTGGTTTTTATTTGTTTCCATGTCAGACAATTTCCTATTGATTTATCCCTATTTATACATTTATATTATAACTATTTTAGCATTCTTAAATGTAATTCTTGAGGCCCAGGGCTCATTTTTATCAAATAATTACACTAAAGAATTCTCTAAGAGCCAATGTAGGAGTGAAAATATGTGCATATTTATGAAGCTACTCCCTTCGATTTTCAGCAAAGTGTAAGAGTGGCCATTAAGAGCAACTCTCAAGTGACCACATGATAAATCTGCAAATAATAGGTTATTTTGAATCATGCATATTGCCTCAGCTAATGTAGTATCCATTATGACCAACAATATTTGTTTTTCACTCTCTCACTTTTGTTTCCACATTGCATCTTTTAGGGCATTTTTAAGTCGTAAGAAATTTGCTATATGTGTTAGTAGGAGTAGAAGTGAAGGATTTTTACTTTTCATAAATAAACTAGATAACTTTTTTGATAAATATGGGCCCTCAAAGGTCTTGCAGTGTTGTTTTATATCTGAGTGGTGAAATGTTTTTTTCCTTCCCAATAGTTCCAGTCATTTGTCTGCCATAATAGGTCCTGAAAACCTTTAATTGACTGTCACATAGGATGTGTTATAGCCCACACTTCCCTTACCTGTATGTGTGATACATTGCACAACATAAATCGGTCATTTTTTTCCTCCTTTGTACTATAAAAAGACATACTGATGCACTCGAGACTGGGGGTGATCATGATGTCTTTCTTTAAAGTAGAGATCAGGATTGGGGTATAGCACAAACAAGCCCCTGCCCAATTCCATTTCACGCTCTTTTAATGCCATAAATAATCTCATCTCATCTCTGCTGCTTTACCAAAGCGTGTAGTACCCCTTCCCTCTCACTGCATATCACTTGTCTAGCTCCTTTTAGTTTTATCACATTGCTTCTGTGCTACACATATCTGCATCCCTTTGTGTAACGTTATACCACAGAAAGAGATCTGAATCATTTCAGCTCTTGGGGATCAAAGGAAATATCCCATCATTGAGGTGTGAGTAGAAATTGGTCACACGTTTTGCTCTGTAAAAGAGTTAAATCCTCTTACCTCTCTTTCCATAAAAGGCTTGACTAATTTACTGGAATAGTCTGCACCTGCAAGCATACAGAGACATCACTCTGTGGCCACTGCTTCCTGACTTTAGGGGTCTAAAAGCTAATATCTGGTGTGGTTTTTGTTACTGTGGCATGTAATGTTCAGTCCTGACAGTCAAGCTTTTCCATTTCTGGCCTTGACCCAGCACTGACTGGCAGGTGACTAATACACCGGCTGGACACTTTCAGTCCTGGCAACGTAGCACCAATCCTTCTGCCAACTGTGGGCGGGCATCGTGATTCGTAAACCATTCTCCAAACCATTTAAGTATATGTGTTAAATACTTGATTTTTTAGCTGTGTTATTCTAGATTAGTCTCTTATATGATAAAACAATGTACAGGGGCTAATCTGGGGAGTTAAGTCACTTTACAGAGATTATTAATCTGCTGCTATAATCGTAACCTCTAAGTCATTTATCAAGCAAAATTACCAAACATTTAATGCTTCCAGTTAAGTGTGCGTGTAGGGTGCTTTTTTGTTTTATTGTACTGTTATGTACTTGGATCCAGCAGCCGGTTAAGCACCCATAAGTGTCTGAGCCTTTCATACACTTAACTTTGCTTAAAGACTGGAAACAGGGGGGAAACAGTTAACAACAAAAACTGCCCATTATATGTCTTGTATGTCTTGTCCTGTAAAAAATATGCGAAAGTGGGGTGCCCTGGTAGCTCACCTGGTAGAGCTTATTCCTTGCTGCACTGGTCATCGGTTTGAGTCCAACCTGTGGATCTGTGTGTTATCCCCTCTCTCTTCCCTTTCCTGTCAATCTTTAAAATTGTAATAAAGGGAAAAAAAGAAAGCCCCCAAAAATATATTTTTATAAAGGGCAAGATCTAGTCTACTAACTTATGCTAAGCTAAATTAAGCTGTGGCATAAAAGTGGGATCAGTCTTCTCATCTGTTGGCAAGAAAGCAAATATATTTATTCTTTTCTATTCCTTTATGGTTTAGTGCAATTATGATGGGCATGTTTTAAGGCATTTCAAAGACTAAATGATTAATTTAAAAAACAAAACAAATGAACAATCAAATCAATGACAAAAATAATCATTAGTTGCCTAAAACAACTGGTATAAAATATTAAGATAGATTTCCTCTAATTACTGTATAATCTACTGTATAAGCTTTCTGAGATCTTTGTATGTACACTGAAGTATTAGAGACAAATACGAGTTATAAATAAATGTATAAATATAAGACGAGACAGGGTATAGAGAGGAAAGCTTGTGTAACATCTTTGGTTCTGAAACATTACAGTCAAGTCAGCGTATGACATCTAGTGCAATGTTTGGATGGTTGAAGACTGAATGTTTGTATGCCAGAATGGAAAAACCAGGTTCACTATTGTGGGGAGAGAAGATGTGTTGAATATGAAATTCTGTCTACCCTAACTCTTGTAAACTTCACATCAAAGGTATATTGAAATATTGTGCTTGGAATGAGAAAACACACCGTGTCCATGTTTGAAGGAAATACTCCTCGTCCCCCTTATCTGAAATAGCTAATAAACATTGTAGTTTTTTATCTAGTCAAGTCTGCTGCATTAATGCCACAGCAGATTTACTCCGTATCACTCGGAGGCAGGAGAGAGACAAGACTACCTGCAGTCTTCTGCTGTTTGTGACTGTGATGGATTATGTGTTTAGAGAGAGACAAAAAGACAGAGTGAGAGTTAGAGGGCGGTGAATCCTTGTTTGCCCTGTCGGGAAACACGACAGTCATAGTCTGCAATATAGAGTATTTGTCTGAGGAAGCCTGAACTGTTTTTGCTTTGTTTTTTTTATTCGTTTTCTAAGTATGTGTACAGTACACATAACAAATACCTCTACATACCTCTATATTTAATGTACAGTTAATTCAATTTTAATCAATGCAGTTCCAATACAGAGCTTTTCTGTGCCAGTACATCATCACTGACAGGTAATTTTATGTGACTGTCTGAAATCCGTCGCTTTGCTCTGTGGAAGTCGAAACTTTTTCCGTTCCTTTGTGAGAATGTTGAGGCTATTAAAAAGTGAATAGATTTTAAACTCAAATTAAACGACAGGGCGTACGTTTAGTGCACTATATAGACTGATTTTGACTGTTTTATCAATTTCCTCTAACTCTCAGCAAGAAAGCAAATAAGTACATTTTCTAAAATGTTGAGCTTTAAGACTATAGACCTAGTCTTAGTTTAACCTCTATTCTCAGATTTTAGTTTATCAGTCTGGCTGTTTCATTCATAACAACAAAGCGATATGTACTTTGTCCTGAAGTGATACTTCTCTGGACTGAAGTGCAGCATGGAGAGATTTAAATAATGGAGAGGACAGCAGTGTTGAGGTGAAACTCAGCACTGCACTTGTGAGGTGTCAGGTAGCAAGAGAGTCTCACATGTGCAGCTACTTTACATTCATGTTTCCACAGGGATGGAAGTACAAGTTCTTTAGTGACAGGGTTGCACAGGGTTGGATCAGGGCTCTGTAGCTGAACCATGGTCTGAATGCCACAAAGTGCTTCCCTGCACCACTGACTTTTTATATGTTAAGTATATTCCTGTTTATGCAGCAATGGATGATTGAGGATGTTGATTCTGTTTGTGTTACACTGCTACTGTGATTAACTCATCATGCAAATTTTGTAGAAACACGTTATGTCTGTCGGCCAGTTTGGTTTAAACAGCAATATCTTAGAAACCTCAGCAACTATTGTAGTAAAGACATCCACGGGATTTTTCACTGATCGCTATTGGCTATATTGAACTATATAAGCCCCATTCGATATTTTGTTTTATGCGCAAAGCTTTCGTGCACAGCAATGCAGTGCAGCAATTGTCAGCTCTCCACTGTCTCTCTCCTCCACTCTGCTGAGCTGTATTAATATTAACGTTTCTCAG